AACGGAACCATTTCGTGTACATCAACGCAATAGTTCAAACATCATTGAAATGTGGCTGTGTAACTTGTTTTATCAATTTCGAAATAATCCATGTCAATCGATCATTCAACCGTATGGATAGATAAATTGTACACATTAAGATTGTATGCTTATAAAGAGTTACATTTTATAGCCTTCTCAAACAGATGACATCTAATCAAAGATCCACCTTTTAGCAAGGTGCATGTGAGTCAGTCAAAACTAAAGGATATGGCAGAAAAATTCAGAATAATATCTAGGATTGAGTCGAACATGCGCCTTTATTGTCCATATTGAAACGTAAGAAGTTGGCCAGATGACGCACAATTTGTCGAATTATATACATCTCGTCAACTCATTAACAATTGAAGATATAAAACTGGAGGATTTGCTCTTGGAAGTTTAAATATACGATATCCAGAAACGAACCGACTTTATATTATGACTTTTGCGTGTATCGTGACCTTCCAGTTCCATTTGTCAATATCGGATTAAAATTCTTTGTACAAGGTCAATAACGAACATGTATCTAACTAAATGGAGCTGCGGATGGTTGAAGTTAACAATCGAAAGTTTCTACATTTTTGATACAATAAAATTTTAGTTGCTGCTCTCGAATGATTTCCCTTGCGCTGATCAGTTTTACACGTCAGTTAGAAAGCCGTGATGCAAATAATATAAAAATATGTCTTTCCATACAACATACATCTGCGCCGGCATTTAACCATTGCTGTGTGACATCTGTTCTTTGATGCATCTTTGACTTATGTCTGATATGATATGTTGCTTATCTTTTCTGTCATACTTGTCATTTTACTACGAACAATAGAATGAAGATGTTAGATGCATTTGATGAAGAAACTTCAAACAGTGTACGAATGTATGAAGATGTGGCACAAATGATGTAGAACGAAATATTTTATAACATGGCAATGTGTGGCAGTAGTACACTGTGTATAGCAGTATTGTCACACATCTTGTTAATATAACATTTGTCTTATGACGTAGGCTCTTTACGGAGGAAATAACTTGCATCTAAATCATAGCGATTTCCGAACATTCTAAAACTTCTCGAGTTTTAGCATTTCTGCCATAACTTCACAAGAAAGCAAGATTCTTCAAAAAGAAAAAATTTACATCTAAGACATCGGAAGCAGTCTGCTTCAAAAACGAAGTTTAATGACAAGTAAAAGGACTACTTTTTCTAGAAAATTGAATTAAGAAGGATCTTTCTTGAAAAGACATCGTCTATCAAGACCTATTATTTAATCTGATTTGTTTCATTGATAATTTTTGATCGGTAACTAACATGTATTTCTTCCATACGTAGATATTTTTCCACTTTTCTGATTTTCCCAAGCAAAAATCACCTATGGGAAAAATCTAGATACATTTTGTCTGTAATCGGGCGATGCACAACTAGTTGTCATCTAGATCACTAGTTGGAAAAGGGACTTTTAACAAGATGCGTCTGCATGTGTAACTAGCAATAGTAAAATCGATTGATTATCGGGCGATAAATCGATAGTTGCAACTAGAAGAAACCTAGTAATCGCCCGATTACTAGATTTCTACGGTCGTTACCCAATAGTTGCATTCGAGTAAAAATCTAGTAATCTAGATAAATCGGGTGACACTAGATTTTTTTTGATGCTTGGGTCGTCAAAATCAATTTATTGTATGTTCTTAGACACACACATAGCGTGAAAATGGTCATCGTACATGTGTGAAACGTTTGTTTTCTTAAGCCTTGAAAGATATGATAATCATCATTTAAAGTGACAAGATAGCATATGATAAAGGTGGAATCACCTTCCGGGGGGGGGGGGGGGGGGGGGGGGGGGGGGGGGGGGGGGGGGGGGGGGGGGGGGGGGGGGGGGGGGGGGGGGGGGGGGGGGGGGGNAAATTGGCACGGGACCTGGGTGCAACGGTTGTTTTTTTTACCCTTTAAATATTTTATTAAAAAAATTTAAAGGGCCAACATAGCCAAATATAAAGGTGGTATCACCCTAACCCCCCCCCCCCCCCCCAGAAAAAGATTGAAAGACTATTTACTTACCCATTATCAAACACCTTATGAAGATGACAATACCTTCGTCTTTTTTCGAGTGATATTACAGTTACTTCCGATTCGGCATTCAATCGATTCTGAAAAGAAATTAGTCAAAGTCATAACAGATAACGAAAATGATCGTTCATCGAGAATGTTGTTCTTAGTACATTCTGACGAAAGAATGCTTTAATAGAATTTTCACGTAGCTACATAGTAATTTTATTATAAAGCTAAAATATGACATGGAAAGGAAAATTTCTGTAACCTACTCGCATGAAAGTTGTAGCTGTGTGCGTTTTATCCACTGATCACGAATGTCAAATTTGGTTTTCTTTTGATAATTAAACTATCACGTTCAAACATACAATAAAAATTAAATTCAACCATTGTCAATAACAAAACTTGATAACCTTAATATCTTAAATAGAGAAAAGTAAAGAAAAGGCATCAAGTATATCAAGTGGTACCAAATTTTCGAGGCGGATAGAAAGAACTGCAAAAATAGACTGTGAAATTATGAAGCATCAGGCTACTTTGGACTACATCGTCACTGTAAAAGGCAGAGAATAAATACGATAAATTTCGAGTTTAACAGAATGAAGTAGTAATTTTTAAATATTAAGCTTTAGTCAAAAACAAAACGGCGAAATCTATGGTTTAAACTCTCAAACTTTTGCTAAAAAAGAAATAGCCGCTCTACAGGAACTCACCTTGAAAATATTTTGAAACAGTTGTACCTTAATCCGAATTCCCTATGACGTTTTTCTTTTTTTTCTTTTTTTCGCTAATCTTTCTTATTCTCGTCCTAATCTTTAAGTGCGCATGCGTTTTTTCTCTATTCATTACATCACGTTTCTCGTTTTTTTATTTCTAAAAATAAAATAGACTGTTGCAATAAACAAGTCACTTTAACAACAGCCTCGGGTTTCTTATGGTTTTTAATCTTTGTCGTAGAACGTAATATAGTACTATTGTATAATAATGTGTAAAAAATTAAAATATATTATATTTCTGTTGCTGTTTTTTGTGAGTCGCAGATGTTATCATGTTACTAATTCATTATCTTATCCAACCTCTGGCAAGATTCTTGCTATGACACTAGTAAAAAATCTTGTAGGATATTATAAATATACTTTTATATCGAAAGTGTTGCTACATCATTGAATCTTGCCAATTTAGCCAAGAATTTTACGTAAAAAAGATTAAAATTCGAAGAATCTCTACTAATATAAGTTTGCAAAATAGATCTTAGGGATCCGGTCTGAAATGGCAAGAAACAAGAACCTCGTAAGATGATCGATAAGAAAGTCGATTTCAGGTACATCAAATTAAAAATTACTATAGACTGTGCATACTAAAGAACGCTGTCTACACAAATTTTATTAATAACATAATAAATTCTGTCATAGAGAAAAGGAAAATATATTCTGTTCTAGAGAAACAGAAAGGGCTGGAATATAAAATATTTTTTTCAAGTATTCCTGTCAGCCACACAAAACACACAGATTTTTTCTTTCAAATAAAATTTAGTGGATTCCATAATATAGAAATAACCTTGTATCTCGATGACAACGGCTCAGCTTTAGACTGCAGTCACATATTCTTCTATTGTACAATAAATTTAAATTGCGATGATAAATTCGCCGGAGTCAATGTCAAATATACATGAGCAGTTGTTCAAACTCGTGTTCTTTTCTATCGTCAATATTTATCATTGGCAGAGCTAGTCATAGACAAAGCGACATAAACAAGAAAAGTTCTGCAAATAACAATCTTTTCTGTTTGTCAGATTCTACACCGATGAAACAAGTATCAATTTCTGAATACTGGTCGTCCATAGATGACGCTTCTGTATAATAGCACGATGGTGCTAAAAAAATGAAAACATTGTTTTGATAAAGTTATGGGGTTCTTAGGAATCCAACGGAATATCTCTCCTAACTGTGTTATTCATCTAACAGAAGATACATCTCTATTGCTCGTTTACTACTGGTCAAATTCATTATCTAATAAAAGAAAGCATTTGTTGTTTATGTTTTCTTTTATAATTATAAGTTCTTAAGAACCGTGTTACTTCTTCTTAGTTCTAACGAGCCGCGGTCAGTACCGATTGCAGAAGACCCTATGTGCTACTATTTGTACCGAAATCAAAGCAATGCATAACAACAGGCTTGTTTCCTACTAGCCATCAATTTTTACCGTCAAAGATGGCCGCTATTAATTTTTAAATAAATAACGGAACGATAACTTTAATTCGACCGGAATGAAAATACTTTTTGTTATAAATTTTTGAAAATTAAAATCTCTTGAGTATCGACGCTGAAAATCGATGCTGACTGAATTTTATCAGAAAAACATCTGATCCTCATAAAAGAAATTAAAGTCAATATTTCATACTGTCACGTGGTCATTGTGCATGGCACTGGCATGGCACTGAGGCAGTTCTGACTTTCTTGTTGAGCCTGTTGCTTTTCTTCTTTCTGCCATTTTTAGGCAAAAAATGTCAATAAAGAAAGGAAAAACTAATCCACTTGTGTGTTGCAAACATTTATAGGGTAATTTCTCATCGCCGTCAAAAATAGAAAATTTTTCTTGACAGTTCACGTCGCCTATCGAAACTGAAATGTTGAATACAGCCAACTACTGATTATCTAACATCTAGAGATTAGTTAGTCAAAGAAAGGGCTGAAAATGGAGCAACCAAAGTTAAATTGTTCTCTTCACTCTAAAACTCCTAAAAAAGTTTTGATTTTCAAAAATTACTCTGAAGGCATCTCCATTCTTCCTCGTATAATATAATATCTTTTCTATGTTCTGCTACTGGTCAAACAATTTCACTTTCTCGGTTGCCATAATCTATTATAGTATTTTTTCAGATTATTTTTCTGCTAAATAACGTGCAATTGTGTTTTTTCTTGCTGTCTACAAAATGGATGATAATAACAACATATTTGATGCTTTAGAAAAAGTATGTTTCTAGTACAAATATCACAAAACATTAAATAAATTGTCTTTCTTGATCTAGAGTTCAAAAATAGAAAAAATGTTAGTTGCTCCATCAATTTCATCATCGAATAATATTGTTCTTCCAACGACTAAAACAGCAATAGAACCAGTTCGAAAGAAAGGCAGAAATGTAAGAGAATTATTTTTATTTTAGACAAATTAAAATTTGTTTTGATCTTTAATTTATAGAAGTTAGTTGATGAATTAGGCTTTCGCAATCCCGGACCTAAAAATGTCGTAACTACTGTTAGTTCACGAAGAACAAAAAATGCGCGCCGTAATTCAACACAAGAACGCACAGGGTATGTTTGTTTGGTAATAAGAAACTTTTTCGTAGTATATTTGTTTTTTAATTTTAGTCGGAGTCGTCCAGTATACGATAGTATCGGTCTGTCAATCAGTGATAAAAGTGATCGTTGTGATTGCAATAGAAAAGCATGTTCAGGTAACGTCTGTTTTACTATACATTTCTTTGTGGTATGCGCACTAAACTAATTTTTTATTATAGGATGTTTTCAACCATGTATTTCTTGTCTATCATCGAAATGTGGACTCGACTGTCGAATTAATCGCTGCTATTCATATGAGTACAGACTTTATGGTACAAATAAAATAATAAGACAAGAAAAATAATGTCTAAAGAAAAAAATCAGCGGCAAACTATTTTTTTGTCAGATACATTTTTTTTCCATTCAGGTGTACATAGAGATAGTTATATTTTTGTTTATGCTAAAATATTATAAATGATTTTTAGGAAAAATTAAAGTGTATAAAGACTATGCCTTTTTTTGATGTTTTTTTAAATATGTATTTGAACAGTCTTATTCGGATGTCTCACACCACATCAAAGTTGGGTTATTTTTTGCGCACAACGAAGCAATTTGTTTTTTTTGCTGATTTGCTTTTTTTTCGTTTCTATTTGAAATCTATGACAATAAAATTCAGAAGCAGCTATAAATTTATTTTTTACTATTAAAAAGCTGATTATGTAAAAAAGTACATATTATGTAACCACGATTTTTCTAACATAAAAGGTAAAAAAAGTAAAAAGATTTTCTAAAGGATGAGATAGGAAAATTTTTTGCTTATAATACAACATTTTGAAAGCAGCGTTTTCGATTAGGTGGGGGAAAATTTCCTCACTTTGTTTGAAAAAAATTACTCCTAAAATAAAAATTACTCCGAAAAGTACTCGAAATTCATACTGTTGTCTTTTTGAAGCGTAATACATTCCTAGAAAACTTATCTTAGATTCGCCTTTGTTTCGCGTCATCCTAGAGGCCTTGTATTTTAAAGACTTTTATATATCGCCTATTTTTCTTCAAAGTATCTGACTAACAAAAGCAATGCTTCATAATAGTTGGTCTCTGTGTGAACTTCTATTTCCTTTGTTTTTTTCTAGAATGTTGAGAATGATTACAATAAAAATTATGTATAATCTCATGAAACGATGATAAACAGCAGAAATTAACGAATATGAATTCTCTTCAGACGCCATCAACCAAATGCTCGAATTTAACTCGACAAAATCATCAACAACAAACTCAACTTGATTGTAGTTTAACATCAATTGATTGGCTGCCAAATATGAAAATTGAAAAATCAATCACATCTGTGACACCATCAATAACACTCTCCACGACGACAGCAGCAAACATGAATCAAATAACAACAACAACATTGCCATCACATGATACAACTTCATCTGGCTATCGTAATCAGAAATTATCAGCAAATTATTGTGAAGGATATTCAACATTACAACCAAATTTCACGCCAGATTCAGCTTTACTTATAGATGAACAGAAGTCAATGCAACATCCACTAAATGATTTTATACATCAACAGCCGTGTGAACAACATCAGAAACCACCATATAGTTATGTGACTTTAATACGTCGAGCCATACTGAGCACTCCAAGCCAACGAATGACATTAAATGAAATATATCACTCAATAACTGAAAAATATCCTTATTTTAAAACAGCACCACCTAAATGGAAAGTGAGTTCAAATTTCGCTTACCTTTCGAACAGCAAGGAAACGTTTTTTCTTTTTACAGAATTCAATTCGCCATAATTTGTCATTAAATAAATGCTTTAAGAAAGTTCAACGAGGTATGAATGACCCTGGTAAAGGTAGTTATTGGACAGTTGATGATTTGGAAACGAATTTGTCGATGCGAAAACGTCGTCCTGAAGATCTAACTCATCTTCAGAATTTATGCTCTGCTCAACAACAACCACAACAACAAGCATCGAACTCTTCGGTGGCGTATTTCAACAATCCAATGATTTACGACATAAATAGTATTGCTGGACAATCATCGTCTACAGACGATTCAGACTCAACAATGGCTCTAACACCGAATGTAACGATACATCGAAAACCTTGTTTTTTTCCTCATAGAAATTGAGAATATTTTTGTACATAGAGCCAATGGATGCCTGAAGATATAAACATTGAATTAACAGCATCATTTCGCCGATTTCGTGAACAAGTTCTTGATTCAAACAATCCTTTTTCAACTGGCAAGTGGATGATGCAATTTTCATTCTTTGCGAGATTGATGATAATCATTTTCTCTTTACTTGTAGATGTGACATTGAATAATGGTTGCCAAGATTTATTTCCAAATGGAGAAAGTTTCCTTGAAAGCGTCAAAATGGCGGGGAGTGGTGAAATCAATTGGAATGACATTAAACTTGAGCCATATTGTGGTAATGTGCTTGTAACTTTGTTTTTCATTCGATGCACAATTTTTTTTCTCCACATAGAACTTCTTGATATATTTCGTGCAAGTTCAACATTCCAAGACCGTGATCAATTAATCAATTTGGCATCTTCATTATCAAATTTTTTCGATTATACGGGAATTACGAATATGGTTCAATCACGTACACGTAAGACAGCGATTTTTCTATTTTATTGTAAAATCTTCTCTTATTTGACTATATCTAGATGATGCTCGCTCGTTGAATTGTGTTATGAATGAACCAAATGATCTTAATGTAAGTCTAATATTTTTCAGGTGTCTTTAACTCTACTATTGTTTTACATTTTATTGCTTGCAGCCTTTGAATATTCAAATGCCTTGTTTGCCAGTGGTCATTGAAGAAGATACAAATAACTTTGACTGGGATTCAATTACCTAATTTGTTTGTTTGATTATTAACAATTTTTTATTCCGAGAAACATTTCTTTTCCATCTAGGGATCATTCTCGCTGTCGGTCATTGACCGTAGTGGGCCTTTTTAAAGTGTTTATTCGGTAAACTAACGAGAACAATAAAGTTTATTAACTTCTTTTGTGCGTAGTCGTAATGCTCTTTCGAAGCTTCTATACATTACGATCCCAAGAGCACTTTGTTAGTAAAGCTTTTCACAATTTTACTCAATAGTAGTAGTTGCCGTCCTTACCATATATTTGACATTGAGATTTATTCCTAAACCAATGTAATAGTACACATTAAGCATCTCTGTACGTCTCAACTGAAAAGTGTTTTAATTCTATGACTTATACCTTTCGGATTTTTATTCTAGAATTGAAGACTGCTTCATAAGTTTTACAACGTTCGATTGTGTTTTCTTTTTGTTTTCTGCGATTAATGCAATATGTCATATTTTACTAATATTCTTTGATAACAGTATTTGCATCGTTCCAGTTCTAACATACATTTTATCCTTTTTACGCATTCCTATTCCGTCCATTCATTTCTCATATTTTATTTTTTATTTTCTAAACATTTTTTATGTACATTGAACCGAAGAACTGATGACCGGTAAGCAATTATTTTAAGGAGAATTTTTATTCAAATACAATACTTTATAATATGTATGACAGTTCATTTTTGATTGTCATTTTTGTTTTTGTTTTGTAAGTATTGTATTTGTTGAACATGTTGATTATATTTTTCTGCACATATACATTTACAAAATAAAGTTTTTTAACACACATTATGAACTTATAACAATCATTGGTTAAAACGGTAGATGCTGAAAATTTCTATAACATTAGCTTGCAATCGCCGTTAATTTTAAGGCACGCGTGATACCTGTTTTTGACGGAAAAAAGTGGAAAATACTAGAAGGGTCTTAAATTTCGAAAATCCGTACTACTAAGAAAAATATCAAAAAATATCAAAAAACAGACCCCCTCGAAGTGATGTTTCGGCAAGTGATGTTTTCGGCATTGATGGATAGGCTCAATCCATATAAAACCTACCACCATTTACATCGATCGTTGACGGCAGTGACGAGACCGATCTTACAATATAGAGCTCAGGTACCTGAACCGAATAGTGAAACCGCAAGTCTCTAGCCTTGTTAGAAAAACAGTTATAGCCATTTTACCCTCGCTACGGAAAAATGCATTTTCCGGCGGATTTAGCCTAACTTGTAGAACGTCTGTTGACCACATTCCCTAATGTAGAACCTTGAAGTTGGTATCAAATGAAAGAGCGCGTCGAATTCTATATATTTGGATGAAGAAACGTTATGCTACATCTCGGGGTCTTGAGATAGATTTCAGAAAAAAACCGTTTTCTAGAAAACCTAATGCCCTTAAAATTTCTTTCAGAAGTTTTTCAACTATATTATTAGATAGCCCATTCAATTCTCCACAAAATGAGATTCTGGCCAAGTTTCTACGATGTTGTTTCAAAAAGTGCCATAGAAAATACGATACAGATCGAAAACGGCGTTAACGCGAATGAATTTATATTCGTAATGCTAAAAAGCCTGAAACTCGGTCGTGCAAGTGCGTAGAAACTTGGCCAGCATCTCATTTTGTGGAGAATCGAATGGGCTATCTAATGATATGGTTGAAAAACTTTTGAAAGAAATTTTTAGGTCATTAGGTTTTCTAGAAAACGGGATTTTTCTGAAATCTCTATCTCAAGACCCCGATATGTAGCATAACTTTTCTTCATCCAAATATATAGAACTCGACGCGCTCTTCAATTTGACAGCAACCGCAAGGTTCTACATTAGCAAATGTGGCTAGCAGATGTTCTGCAAGTTAGGCTAAAGCCACCAGAAAATGCATTTTTCCGCCGCGAGGGTGAAATGGCTATAGCTTTTTAAAAAGTGCGCAAAATACTCGTTGCGCCCTACTTATCTGTTTAAAACGTATAACAGGTTTATAGAAAGCTTTTGTACTCACTCTTAGCACAACTTTCGGATATTTAGGGATCCATGCAGATCCACGCGGAATCCCGGATCCGCCTTTTCTCCCTTGACTGTAATACATCGTATTCGATACGTCTTCACACAGGCAAAAACAGTACGGAGAGCTTTTTTAAAATTCCTTTCCGTTGCTGAGAAAATTCATTTTTTCTGAATGAGAGGCGAAAAATTCTTAATTCTTAATTTTCTTTATCCGAATCCGACTTTTATGCAATAAAATAGGAAAACAGTTTCCGTTCAATTGAAAATGACCGAAAACGTTGGAAGGTTTCCGGACATCCAGTGAAGAGAAAGAATAACAATGAATTAGAGCGTATCGCACTGAACGTTTCGCACCGATACCAAGGTTCTTTTTCAGTCACCATTTTGTTTTGTTATTATTCGTGTATATAAACACACAGTACACTTGTAATATTTCGAATATCTTTTCAGCCCACATCTTTTACTTCTGATAAGAGAAGTGTCGGGGCAATGCCGTATGATTATGGCATGAGCATCGATGTGCATGTCATGTGTCACTGACATCGCCAAAGATCGGTATACATAGGTGTCCGGGCGATACCAAGCAAAGGGGATCCAGAAAGATGCGCACGAGAAAGTTGCGCACAGGGAATGTTACGCACGGATAGGTTGCGCACGAAATATAAAATTCTTATTTATGCTTCATAGGATAATTACTAAACAAAGGAACAGGAAACAGAATAGTAATTATTGTCTCTTAAAAAAATAAGACACGTGACTACTTTTTAAATATCTCAAGAAGGAAATGTGTAGAGAGTTTGGGTTTTCACCATTCAGAAGAAGACACTTTGGAGTACATTTTTATAATAGATATTAATTCAAAAATAGATTTTTAAAGTAAGGTTTTAAGGTGATCTTTGGAAAACCAACTCATAGTTCAAAAACTTCAAGTACGAATACTTTCATTTTTGTTCATGAACAGATAGCCCAAAGTGTTCTCTTTAAAACGCGAGTGAAATGAGACCTTAATTTTCAGTGATTTGGGCGTGGTATCCAATTTGCTTAGAGTCTTAGGACTGGTATCCAGTGGCTTCAGGTAGTCTTGAGATTGGATGAAACATACGTAATTGCCCATGCTGAATCTGATTGCAATGTTTGTTTTGAGAAAGTAATTCAAAAACGGGGTGAAAACAGAGCTTTATCAGAGTTGGAGTTTCCAGGCTGTCTTCACTTGATATTAAAATATTCACTGTTCACTCAAAAAACATCAGACGAGTTCGAAACTTCAGGATATGATGAATGTTGTCTGCTGAACGTGATTATAAGATTGAAAAAAAATCGAAGACGCGTATTTTTATTAATAGGTTTTCTAGGTCGGAAAACCCATAGTCACGGCCTTATTTTTTTAAGAGACAATAATTACTATTCTGTTTCCTGTTCCTTTGTTTATTAATTATCCTTTGAAGTATAAATAAGAATTTTATATTTCGTGCACAACCTATCCGTGCATAACATTCGCTGTGCGTAACTTTCTCGTGCGCATTTTTCCGTGCGCATCTTTCGTATATCCCAAGCAATGCCAAATTGGCATCGATGCCATGCAGTGTTGATTTTTCACTTCAGAAACGATGCCGCATTGCTAAAATTCAATACAGCATGCCCATGCTGCATTGTTTTTTTTCAGTGCTATCCTATTAAAAGAAATTCGTTACGGCATTGCAAAGAAAAGGATCGACATGCCATAATCATACAGCATTGCCTCGACACTTCTCTTATCGGAAGTAAAAGACGTGGGCCAAAAAGATATTCGAAATATTGCAAGTGTAGTGTGTGTTTACATACACGAATAATAACAAAACAAAATGGTAACTGAAAAAATTTATTCGGCATGAGTGTGCACTCGTGCACAACCGGTGCCGACAAAAATTTGTTTTTGTAGGGATGTATTCATATTTTGCAGTTTTCACCATCAAATTTTAGTGTTTTTGCAAATTCAATGTCATATTTAACATTAGTGACAAAAACTGAGTTGAGTGGATATGGACAACTCTAGATGTTCCACTCTAGAAAAACTGAGTCCTTGCTCGAACTATTGATAGTATACGGATGAAGCTTGCACGAATACAAAATCGACATTTTAATCTATACATACACATAGAAAACGTGGTTAACAGAACAGAGCATGGCGCTCCAACCTGTATCCTTCGGCCATGCCATCTTCAGAGAGTACTTTGACTGTGATTTTTTCACGAATCAATGAGGTCAGTCTTGGTTGCACCGCAGATCTGTATCTTTTCTTGTACTAATATTCCTTAAAAAATTAACTTTATTACCTTAAGTTTGTACGTAACAATATCGTTAAATATCTTATGCAAATTCCGCTAGATTTAAGACTAAGCATGTCGTCTTTTCTTAACTATGCAGAACTATGTAGAAGAGCTGCATTCATAAAAGAGAAAAATGTAGAGTTGTAAGTTTCAGAGAGTATAAAGTGCATATGTCAGTGTCCAAACTGCTAATCCAAATTTCGGTCGGACTCCAGACTAGACCAGGCTAGAACGAAAGAAGAACTAGGAAGGCAAAACCGAGTTATAAATTTCTTCAGGTCAAACTCAAACTGACTTAGACAAAAATAAACAAGAAGAAATAGTTGACACAGTAAAAAAAGTAAAACCCATGTGATTCAGTACTACATGCATATATTTCGAAAGAACACTGGTGCTGTCAGCTTATCTTCTACTTCTAGTAAAAAGTAACAAAATTTCCGATAGAATTCCATCCCAATTCAGTCAGACAACGGACTATCGATCAATGGTACCATTTTGGCTAGAAATGGTATAATTGTGGAGGTGATTTAGCCATTGGTGACGGCGATAAATCTGATGGTGAAAAGAACTTCTATTGTAAGGTGTCGACCAACTCCAATCCTTTATCTTGTTCAAAGGTGATTAAAGACTTTAAAGCGGCATGCTCATGCATGCTTAGTCATTATTAACGGCAGGCGAAGACATCAGTTTCAAGGAGTTGTTGAACGTGCAAACGCAGCTTTTATATATACTTTTTGAGCGATTGAAATATAGATTCATTTAGATCATTAAATATGCTCTTTAGTTGCGGTTACTTATTCTATGAAAGAAAATTTAGATACGAGTCCGATGTACTGTCAGAACCAAGACACGTGAAAACCTTTCTAAGATCTTGACAAGATAGACCTCCATTATTGCTTTTCGTCTAATATCAGTAAATCAAATAAAAATATCTTGAAATAACACAAGCTTACGATATCTCAACTACTTGTTACACTCACATTACATTAATTACTTGAACATACACACTCATACCTGGAAACAACGCAGTTCGTCGATATGAACCAAGGTGGCCCAACTTCGTCCAATGTTAAATTAAAAAGAGGTGCATCGGACGTTAGCAGCAGCTCAAAACATCAAAAAGTACAAACACCTCCGCAGACAAAAGCATTCAAGGTTGCACCTATTGTGATTAAAGGTCTTACAAAGGTAGCACGCGTTCAGCTGGGGAAAAAACGTAAAGAAACAATGCCAACACTTAAAATTTGTAACATTATATACAACGATAAGCAAAAAATCTTTACTATTCAGCCCTCAGATGTAACAACATATAACAAAATTTTGGAAAATTTTCACAAGGTGCTTTTCCAAAAAACGATAATATAACAGTTTATGTGCCAGCTCAAATTAAACAGATCATTGAAACAGAAAAGATTGTTTTTGTTAAAAATGTAGACTACGATTTAGAAATAGACGAAGTTAAATAAAGTCTTAGTCAAGAAGGTTTCAGTTTCACAACAGTTGAACGTTTGAAACGTCAAAGTCCAAAATACGAAAACTGTTAAAATTACATTGACCAATAAATTGAATTGAGAAACTCTAATACGAACAGGTCTCCGTGTTGATTATTGTTTGTTAAAATGTGAAGCGGCAAAACCAAACAATACCTCACTGCATTGCAGAGACTGTTTCAAATTCGGCCATCCAAAGAAATATTGTAAACAATCGTATCACAGTTGCGCAAAATGTGCTGATCATCATTCTACTGAAAAATGCACAACAACACTATTGAAATGTGTCGGTTGCGAAGGTGGTCATGCATCTAACTCAAATGCCTATCCATCTTTTATTGAACAGCGGCAAAAATTACAAAAAATGATTGATGAATACACTACTCCATTGAAACCACAAGCTTCATTAAATCCACAAAATTATCCACCTCTCCCAACACCATCGTCACCGTGCCCTTGCTCACATCATTAATAACAAACCATCTCGATTGAAGAAGTTTTAGAGGAATCTACTACAATGATAGTCAGTGCTTTCACCTCCGCCATGTGTCAAATGACAACGGCCATCATCTCCACATTTACACAACAACAACAAAACACTTCATCATCCACATTATCATCATCAGCTCAAAGTCCACTCTTCCGAATGCCAGTCTGTGATCCATCCTATCAAATTCTCTTCACACAACTAGATCATCATCACGAAAACCTTCTCAGACACGTTCACGAAGCAACTCAACACAACGAACCAGCCACAGACATCGCCACAACCTCAAGCAACACCAGCAATCCCGCCTCTTGACACGTGTTCCACAAAGTAAAACCGATCATACTTCACTTTCATCAAACAGGAACAAATAACAACAACTTCACACTTTATCTCTCTCTCACAACAAACACGACCACCACCAACATCTCCATCCTCTTTTTCATCACAAGATCCCAAAGTTGTGATAAAAAGGGAGCAGTGAAAACTCAACATCACACAATCAACAAACAAAATAATAACGACAAATCATTTTCTTCTTCTCAATCATGACATTTTGTCATATTAACATCAATAGCATACTGAAATACAAACAAGAACTTCTAACAACATATAATGATGTTGATTGTTTTTCTATAAATGAGACAAAGTTAACTACAAATCTCCCTTTCCATGTCTGGCTTCAACATCTTTCACTAGGATCGACCAAATAACAACAACGGTGGAGGAACGTTGTTGGCCGTGAGGAATTGTCATCCTACAAATCTATTTTACTCTGGTCACATTGAAAAGAATGAAATAACCATTATTGAAATTAAACTAAAAAACACTGAAAAATTTATCATCGGAACAATTTATATACCGCCTCAGGTCAGTCTCTCTAAACAAAATCGTCAATCTCCATCGCAGATTTCTTATCATGGGGGATTTAAATGCAAAAAATGGTCAGCTAGGATGCAAAACAACAAACAAAAGCGGCAGAATGTTAGAAGAGTGGCTAACTAATAATAATATTGAAGTGGTTAGAAATGCACTACCTACTTTCGACAAGGGTGCATATCAGGAAAAATTAGACTGGGTGTTGGCAGACATGCAAACCTCTCTCCAACAAGATCACTGACTAATGCACTCGGTATTAGCTGATACAAAAACTGACCACAATCCATTGATGTTTGAACTCACTGTTGATTCTGATGTTCGTCAACTTGAATGTGCTCAGCCTCAATATATGTTCAGTCAGACAAATTGGCGAGTTTATTCGATGGCATTAAACCGGGAATTAAGGCAAAAAGAGGTCAAGAAAACCAACACAATCCATGAGTTTATTGAATACAACCATTTCATCACGACCTGTATCGTAAATGCAACTGAACCTAGACTCACTTCGCGAGAAAAAAGTCTGAATTGCTACAGGAGTTAAAATTCGAATGAAATTATTTATTTGTAAGAATGAAATTAAAGCATGGAAAACACGTTTAAACTCGTCAAGATAAAACGCGTCTTGACGCACTGAAATGGTGCAAATTCTGCGTACTTAGACGCGCTTAGACATGCTACACAAGAGTTTAGCTCCTTCTATCTCAATCTATGTAGGTGTCATCTCGATATTTATATCAGAAGAAAAGGTCAGGGTTTTGACACAGAAGTATATAGGAAAAAGACCTTCTCCGATCTTCTAACTAAATGGGACGGACAGTTTTGTTCCGAAAAGGTACAAACAAAATGCAACCACAACGATGGCTTTTCGTGCCATAAAGATTTGTTCGTCCTTCGGCACTCTTCATAAAGATTTTGATTTTATTAGAACCATAGTTAAAAAGAACGGCTATCCTCTATCATTTGTCGACGCTATTATTGGTAAACAACTGGGTATAATTTATTCTACGAGAACTACTACTGTAAATACTACTGACACATCAGCAACTGAAAATGTAGTATTTCGAGTGCCTTATTTCGGCCTGTGCAGTCAGTTGTACGGTAAACGTATTGTAGCAACAGTCAACAAAATTTATCCGAAGAAAAAAGTTAGAATTATCTATGATGTTAATTCTAAGATTGGATTAGGTTTCAGTCCAAAAGATTCAATACCTCCTTATCTGAAGTCAGGCCTGGTTTACGAAGCGAAATGCTCCGTTTGTGATGAGACGTACATAGGTAAAACTTGTCGCCATCTGAAGACCCACATAAGTGAACATTTGAAAGACCAGGAAAAAAATTAATCACGATAAAAACAAAAGAAGTACCTAGGAAAGTTATGAAGACCACTATATACCTTAAAGACAAAGTGCCGAATAGGTCACGATCAGGTCCCGTGACACGATCACAAACGGGTGAGTTAAAGAAAGTTGTTCAGAAATTAAATCAAGACGACTTTGAAGATTCACTAAGCACTTTGACGAATATAAAGGAAATTTCAAACTCAAGAGAATTACAATTTAAGTCGGCCATAGGTAAACATTATCAAAATACAGGACATGTTATGAAAAACGCTGATTTCCGTATTCTTATATCAGAACAACATAGATATCGGCTGCTTGTCAAGCAGTTCTTATTCGCTCTGCAGCTCCAGGACTTGATGGAACAGATCGATCTGTTCCACTGGACGTTTATCCCGACGGCATTGAGAGAAACAAAAACAAGGGAGATGGATGACTTGTACAATCAGAACAGTCAAGTACAAGAATACTATAAAATCACGTAAGGAAAAAAGAAAAGAAGTTTTGTTTTTCAATTCTTGTACACAACGTTTTGAAAATGACTGGTTAAAGGTCGAAATATCAACTAAATAAGATGAAGTTTAAAACAGCTGCAATTATAATCAAATTTTTGATAAGTAAGTCGTTGCCCTCAAACACTATACTAGACAACTTATAGAACGATACCTCAAAAAATGTATCATAAACGGCAACACCAGGATAACGATTGTTTTCAGACAAACTATAAATTTAAACAATATACTTGATCTACCACTTTCTCACTTCTGTACAGGAAACACTAACTGAAATTTGTACGTTTAAATCTTGAAATTTTAAATGTCCGACTTTTTGTTTTATCAGGCAGAAGACTTTGAGTCAAGCGCCTTTTTAAAGGTTTATTTGTTCTTCAAAAATAAACCTCTCTCTCTCTCTCTCTCTCTAGACACGTGAAATATTCTCAATTTAATCTCAGTTTGGTTTAGATCAATCTGACATTGAACTGCGACTTCCTGTTCGCTCAGTATTAATCTAATTCAAACTCCGACATATATATATATAGTTGCTGATTTGTTTAATGAATTGATGACACTGGATATTCTTTCCAATAACTTCAGAACTTTTTAAATAACCAAATTTCTCTAGCATTTTCAAACACAAAGTTAGGATTTGTATAGATTCATCCATTAATTAAATGTCATTCAATTATTTATTTACGATAGTAGTATTGCTCTCACTTTCTCTACACATGTGCTGATATTAACAGAAAGATTCCATTACACGTTTTTTATATGCCTTTTATAAATGACGTATTTCGATAATAGTAGCTCATGTTTATGATTGTAACACCTGTTTTTTTTTTCATTAGTACGAAATGTTCAAATAATGGTCCTGGATTTACATTATAAATTAACCCAAAACATCACATTATATTTTACATAACCGGTTCGTCAGAAATTGCTTGTAAATATGATCGTAACCAGCATGATTTTTCACCACCATATTGTAAATTCACTTCTTTTAAAGAAGTAGTGAAACACATATCGGCACAATCACACATAGGCCCACAATTTTCATCAGACGATCGCTTGATCTACAATAAAGAAAATATATTAAATTTTAAATTTCATAAAATTCAAAAACTTTTTATGTTACATTTGATTCTTCCAAAGATGACGGCCCTCCTAGACATGCGTAACAAGCTGTCACACATGTATGCTGCGCTTTAAAATCAAATAATGTTTGTGGTAAAATTGTTGATGATTCTTGTTCTATTGGTGGTATGTCATTGCCTGGTGTATAAATAACATTTGTATCAACGTTCAATAATTTACCAAGAATACTTCTTAACATGCGATCTTTCGTATGTGGATAACGAGAAATAGACAATCGCTGACCATGGGCATGTGGATATACAGATTTTGAGTATGTTTCATTAAGTAAAATTGAAAATACAATGCACAGATAGAAACATCTGTAATGAATTTTTAATGCCATCTAAAATGACAATCATGGATGAGATTATATTCCTGTGGTGTCAAACTCAGATTGAAAATTTTGATGTTTTTCATCCTGCTTAAGTAATTATTAAAACTTTGTTCTAGGCTTAAACGATGCAGAATTTTGTCTAGTTTTTAATAGTAAGCTTGGTTTAAAGTAAATCATTATGCTTTCATCATTTAAAATTTTCAAAATAATAAACTCTGTCAAAAACTATTTTACTAGGATGTAAAAAGTAACATTTTTTTAAAATGAGATTATCTATCACATATAGTCATAAAAATAATGACTAAAAGATGCAGCGATCCGAATTCTTTGCATTTTTTTGTGGATACACTCGATTAAAACAAGTCATAGACAACTCATAATAAGGAAAATCCTGTTTGAAGAAGAATAAGGTACTTCTTGAGAAAGTTTACTATTTTCAAAGTGTTAAAGAAAGCATAATGATTTATTCTGAGTCAACCATACTATTAAAAACTAGACAAAATTCTGCATCGTTTAAGTTTTAAAAGTTACTCAATCAAGTTGAAAAAACTCAAGTTTTACACCAAAGAACTATAGTTTTATATTGACAAGATGTGTTTATAAATATCGCGATAGACGCAGATAATTCTAACATTTTTGTTATTTCTTTATCTTCTAAGAAAAATACTAGAAAATGTTATATGGTAAACAAGTTTCTAATCTCAAGAGTAAGTCGATACGAAAATATAAATATAAAACTATATAATTACTCACGAAGTTATTTTGCTAGTATGTTTTTATGAATGAATTATACTCGCATGGAAAAAAATACGAATCTGTGCTTATAGATTTCTCATTTAGAAGTACAAAAATTTGTACATTTCATTTAATAATAATGAAATAAAAATTTAAAGATTAAATTAGAATAATGATAATCGTTCTACGTTGGTGTAAGAGTGTTGAGAAAAAAAATCGTATTTTAGTCACTTACTTGCTTTATTTAATAATTTCTCTTTTTTCACGTATGCTATACTATTTACGAGAACTTTCAAATCATTATTAATAACAATTGACACGACTACGTCAACAAAAACAAAAGAACAAAAGAAAAAATTTATCAATATATACCATCAAAATATATCTCAGATATATTAGAACAAGTGACAATACTCATATTGATTATTCGAATTAAATTTTGATTTATTTACGATAATACTATAATGGAAAAAAATATATTTTTTTTTTCAAATGAATATAGTGATTGATTAGTAAAAGAAATAATGTTGTAATATGTGATTATGTATGTTCAATATATATTTCAAAGCTAAATTAACGAATAATAGTGTTACAATGTGATCATTTATTGTAGAAAAATGAAAATAGAAATTATTTAAGACTATAAAAAATACCTATTCTACTAAATATAAAGAAGAACTCAAAAAAGAAATTGATTAATTGAGAAAAAAATAAAAATGAAACGTTTAATGTTTGTTCCTAGCGGATGTCCGACTTCTGAACTATCTTATTCTTTTTCAGTGTTTTATCGGTATAAACAAAGTTGACATATTAAGGATATTTTTACCGACAAATCTTATCAATGAAAGTTGAGTATAAAGAGGATGGATTAGTAAAAAAAATTCAATTATTATTTATGACAGATTTTCATAGAACAGATTCGTTACTATTTAAGATAGTGAAAAGAATTTTATTCTTTTTTATAATGCATCCTATTTTGGAATACGTTTTTTATTCTCAGGCGATTTGTCTGTTTTGTCTCAGATTTTATCCTTATTATTTTTAATAGTATGATAGACATATGACGCTGAATGAAGACAACAATTTTTCTATCTAGATAAACTAGTCAACTTTGATTGGCGGATAAAAACTTAAAATGGATAGGTATTCTAGCTCTGTGATAAACATCAAAGGCTTCTTACAGCACTTCAGCTGTTACGTCTGTTAAAGTTCTATCAAACTTGTGCTTCTTTGAAGAAACCAGGTCAAAGAATCTTACTCAAAAATCTTATAAGATTCTTGTACAATTTCGTCTGATGTCGTGAGATTCTTGTATGATTTTATATAAGATCTTATAAGATCTTGATCTGAATTTTTGACCTGGGAACACTTTAGTTTGTAGTTATACTACAGGACTCATGACAGAACGATTTTGTTCTGTTAAGTGGAGTAAAACGAGTAATATGTGAGACAGTTTGGTATGTCCACTGCCCACGAAACTAGTGAAATGAACATTTATTCTAATCGTAGATCCGGATGTGTTCTAGTAAACTTAAACTTGCCCGTTGAATGGGTATGTTGTATTAGTTACATGTTCAGAACTTTCAATGCACTTTGTTATATTCTATTATTTTTCCTATTAATTTCATGTTGTTCTTCTTCTTTTTGAACATCAACATTCATTTCCCTAATGTCTTGACCATTTTATAACTACTTCAATACTTCTGCCTCCAGATTGTTTTATGTCTTTTTAAATTAGTACATTAAGATCTCAGCATAATGATCCATTCTGTTCCTCTTATGTTTTTATGATAAGACTCTACTTTTGCATCCAGAAGTGGAGATGTCTTTTTCCATTGTCTAAAGCATGTGAGAGTGAACGCTAATTGTACAGGAATATAACTATAACAGAACGTAAACTAGTTGGTAAGCAAACTTTCATATATGATCCAGTATTCTTCTCCAAAACACGTGTAGGAACCTCTTTCATAGTTGTTTCCCGCAGTTAAACCACCACTAACCAAAAATATCACAGTTCGACTCTTCCAAAGCATTGGTCGGAATTTATGTATTTTTGTTTATTTGAATTTATGCTTTTTCTCAACTTATTAATTATCGTAAACCAAAACAAACTATGAATAAGTTTAATATAAATAAACAGAATAAAGCTTCTTGCATCGCTTGATAAAAGTCAGAGGAAAGGGAATAGTAATGATAAATCAGATATTGCTAAAAATAATAAAACAAATTTGTAAACTTCAATCTCATCCAATTGTTGTATTTCAAACCAAAGATAAAAGTTCGGTTAATCTATCCTTGTCAAAAATGTTAATCTTCTGCGCTCATACATATTTCTCCAGTTGTGATTTATAGACTTTACAGAAAACGGGTAAAAATGTATAGTTTTTAGACTCTTGAATAAATAACATCCAAATTCTTTCAGAATATGTGTCAGATTTTGTTTTTCTCTTACAAGCCTCTATAGAATTTTCATAAGGATTTTTGACTAGGCAGAATCTGGTTCAAAACTTTCTTAATACATCTTTACCTTTGGAGCTGTCGTTGTCAAAGATTGTTCATTAATAATCAACAAGAATTTCTTATCTTATCGTCTACAATCAAGATTACAAGAATTTCCACACGAAGGATCAAAGAAAGAAAATGAACAGTGTAAAACAACCTAAGATAATTCTGTTGATTCCTTTCTCTTGTAGATTTTATAATAGTAATCATTTTAATAATTCATAATTCAGTCAGTTGGTAGTTAAACGCGATAAAAATTGTTGTCATATTGAAAAGTTCTTAATTATTGTATTTATAATTATCTCACTAAAATCCGTACAACCGTGAAAAAAATGTTAGAAAGTTCAAACAATTATAAAAGAAAATCTTTTCTTACATTTCAGAAACAAAATCACAAACGTTAACACAGTAAGGATGCCGTAATTACAAAAAAAATTTGTCTTGCTATTGAAAAATTTTAAAATAAGAAAGCTCTTTCTCACTACTTTTTTCTATCATTAAAAGTTTTTGCTGTAAAAGGTTTTTCTTTTCATACATTTTATACGTATGAAGAGATGTTCAAGCTGAATAAAAACAAAGTAATGGTAGCACTTAGCATAATTAACTAGCTGAATAGTGGACTAAATTAAAAATCCATTAAATTTCACTATTACTCACTCTCACTTTTGATGTTCTTTAATTTTACGAAGCCAATTAGGAGCGAATCGAGAGGACAGGATACATATATATAGATATAGATATATATACTGAAGTGATCGGAGATCTTTGCTATTGATAATTGGCATCTTGTTGTAATATACAGTATCTTGCAAAATTATTGGTCTTACTCTCTGCGTATAAATTATCGATACTGTATACCTCAAATGACAATCTATCTGATTATTTTTGGTAACTAGCAAAAGCAGTAACAAAGAGAACACAGAGATGCACAAGAGCGTTAGATCTTTAAAGAGAGAATGGAAATAAATCACATAAAGTAATACGTACAACTATATAAAAATATTAGAGTTTTCAAAAGTGTTTCTCTGCTTCCAGTTTTAAATGTGATCTTTCTGGAAAGTGTTTAGCGGAAAAGTGATTCTTAAAAAGAGTGGTTTTGGGCACACTTTTTTTTAGTGTAGTTTTTCTACGATGTGACAATACTTCAAATCCAAGTCTCTTCTCTCTAGCAGGAGACGGGACTGCTAATTCTTACAGACAATGTGAGCCATTAAGCATAGGATCGAATTTAATGGTTCCAAGTATGTCTTAAGAGTGCTATCAAAAACAACGGAAGCATATTCCATCAAAGGACGAGCACACGTGAGACAGAGATGTTGCCTCAATTTTCGTAGGGCTTCTTGAAAAGTAAAATTTATAGCATCCAGCCACTGACAGCTCTTACTAGCTGTTTGCTGGATATGTTCAGCCCATTTTAAATCGCAACTCAAGACTACACATAATAATTTAGCCTCACTAACACGCTTCAGAATACGATCTTTTAATGACATAGTAGAAGGAGAAACACAAAGAGGTGACCTATCAAAAACTAATTAGCAACATTTATTTAGCAACGTTTAACTAAACTAAGATGAAGGAACACCATACATTTATTTGTGTATCTCTTCTCTCACATGCTAAAGATCGTCACTTGCGCATAAAGGAGCATAGCAAAACAGATCATCAGCAAACATGAATATTAACGTAGAAGAACTTGACATATAGTCGTCAGATCATTGATAAATAGAAGAAGGAAGACCGGTTTTAAGAGGCGCCTCCATATCACTGGAACT